GGAAGCTGTGAACTCGGTTAATAAAAATAAATGGATCAAGTCCATTGGTGAGGAACTGGAAGCTCATCAGAAAAATAACACCTGGACATTGGTTGAAAAGCCTCCGAATGCAAAAGTTATACCATGTAAATGGGTATTCAGAATTAAGGATGAACCAACGGGTCCAAGTTGCAGTACAAAATAATTTAAAAATTGGCACAAGTTTAGAATATGGGACATTACCCCTGGCGGAGTGGGTGGTATTTCTGGATAGGGGACGTGATAGGGCGTCGAAAAGTTAAATAAAAAATTTTCCGAAAACATACGAGTAAAAAGTTATTGAGACTTAAAGTTACAACATTTCCATACATTTTCATATATTTATTTTCCACCATTCGGAGTGGGTGGTATTTTTAGATAGGGGAGGTGACAGAGAGTCAAAATATATTAAAAATATTTGGAGGAAACGTACGAGTAAAAAGTTATTGAGACTTAAAGTTATAACATATCTAACACATTTCCATACATTTCTTTACCTAAATAAGTGATTACAACAGATAAACATACCTTTAACGAATAGTACGCATCCTTTTTTTATGTACAAGACATATTTTCACAACAATTAATGCTTTATTGTATTTAATATTTTAATAATTTCACAACACAAACAAAATGATCTTACATTTTGACAAAAGCAAAACTGACACTTTGTTTTATATTACCGCTTAAATGACAACAGATTATATTTGATTATGTTTGCTTTTTCTGTTGGTAAAATATTAATATTAATAAATAAATAAATAAAAAGAAAAATATTATTTTCACTTTATAAATACATTTATCACTTTTTATTTGATTTATGTAAAATATATTGTTTTACAATTGTACATTTAGTAAAAAAAATCAGTTTTTTATCTGTGAATATTTTTAATTATTTATTTATTATTCGTCATATCTGGGTTAGGTTAGGTTAGAACATTCCTCATATCTGGGTTAGGTTAGGTTAGAACATTTAAGATTATTTATTAATTATTCGTCATATCTTGGTTAGGTTAGGTTAGAACAGTTGCCACAACGCACGAGCCGAGCGAGCGAAGCGAGCGTGCCGCGGTAGCGGCCGGCGAGTGCCATAAATGACTAGAAAACTAGAAAATTCGAATTTCACGCAAGTACAAATAAAGACAATCATCTGGAGATCATTTTGACAATTGAAAGTGACGTTTTGACTCCAAGTGTCTAAATGGTAGTAATGTCAAAATAATGTATGGAGATGTTGTAACTTTAAGTCTCAATAACTTTTTACTCGTACGTTTTCGGAAAAATTTTTATTTAACTTTTCGACGCCCTATCACGTCCCCTATCCAGAAATACCACCCACTCCGCCAGGGGTAATGTCCCATATTCTAAACTGCAGCCTAAAAATTATACAACTGGATGTCAAAACAGCATTTCTTTATGGAGAACTAGACGAGATCATATTCATGAAACCACCAGAGGGTCTGCACCATGAAGATAATATGATGAATGGGCTCTACAGGAAATAACTAAAGAATTGAGAACCATATTTGAAATTAAAATATTAATCAAACCTGAAAACTTTGTGGTGTTCCAGTTGACCCCCACATAAAGTTGCAAAGAGGAAATGAAAGGGATGAAAAGGATATACCATACAAAGAAGCAGTGGGCTCTCTGATGCATCTGGCCATTGTGAGTCGACCCGATATCATGTTTGCTGTCAGTCTGGTGAGTCGTTTTCTTAATTGTTACAATCAGACCCATTGGAATGCAGTAAAAAGGATTTTCAAATACTTGAAAGATACAAAAGAGTATGGGTTGTGCTATACACAATCTCCACAAACATCAGATGTCACAGGCTACAGTGACGCAGACTATGCAAATGATATGGATACTCGCCGTTCAGTCACTGGCTATGTATTCATCAAGAACGGGGCGGCTGTAACTTGGTCCAGCCAAAGACAACAAACAGTGGCTCTGTCTACAACAGAAGCTGAATTTATGGCAGCCTGTGCTGCTACCAAAGAGACAATGTGGATAAAACAGTTTTTAAGTGACATTAATGAATATAAACAGGCTTCTATGTGTCTTCATTTAGATAACCAAAGTGCTATTAGTGTCATTAAAAATATTAATTTCCATAAGAGATGTAAAACATATTGAAATTAAATATCACTTTATTAAAGAAAAGTATCACCAAAAAATAATTGTATTAAAGTTTGTTAGTAGTAATTTTCAGTTTGCAGATATACTTACAAAAGCATTGTCTAAAGATAAATTTCAATATTTAAGGTCAAAGCTTGGAATGTTATCATATAACTCAGTTTCTAATTAATTCAGGACTTATGTTTAAAATTAAAGCTTGAAATGTCATTATATATCTTATTTTATTGATTCAGGAATAGTATTTAAGGTCGAAGCATGGAATGTTATTATAAAACATAATATGTACTTTCTTACTGATTCAGGAATAATGTATAACTCAGTTTTTTTTTTTAACTTTGTCAATTTGTGAGTTACTGTCTAATTTAATTATCTGTTATGTACTTGTTATTGTTATAATTTATAAAGAGGCTTAAATTCAGGAAGGGTGTTGAATATAATATTATTATTTAGATTTCTCGCCTATTTATGGTTTTGCACTCTGTACTCCGTAGTCTATATATTATCTATGTTTTTTTGCTCTCTATTCTGTGACATCAAGCGACTGTGTATTCCTATTTAACTTTTTTGCTAGTTTAATAATAAATAGTTATTAAACCTGAGCGTACGCCGTTTAATTCAACAGTATCTATTCTAAATGAAAACCCCCGTTTAGTTATTTTTTACACTGTAGTGCCTAGAAGTCGGTTTTTTAAGTTTTTATGTTATTATTTAATTAAAAATTTCCACGCATTTTCTTACATTGCATTATAAAACCATTCTGATATAATCTTTTCATTTATTTCTTTGAAAATACGCTTGGTTCAATGGTCTAAATGAAAATTGCTTATAATGTATTTCAGATTTTCACCCATTGGATATATACAAGACTGAAATGGGGTACGGTATAGAGCGGTTTTTCCTGCTTTCGTGCTGCTTAGCATGTTGCTGGCCAGGGTTGATTGCGAAGAGTTCTCTTAGGGTCGTCAATGAATGGGTACATCTGAACTATAATTTTCCAAGCGAAGCGGTCCGCCAAGATGCTGAAAACAAAGGCTACTATGTTCCCGGAAATTCGGTACCACTTGATGTTGATGTGCAATATAAAAGCAGTACGTTGTTTTTATTTTTATTTGTTTATTTATCAAGATTTCTATTACACAATTATAATAATACCTAATTTCAGAAATTTTGAAAAATTCTCAGATTACAGATATTTGTAAATTTCCAAAGAATCGTTTTAATTTATTTATTGTTAGTGATTTGAAACGTTATGGTTTATATTCGTCATTTACTGTGTATGTTATGTCAAGTGCAATAAATAATCTATACACATAATAAAATTGTAACTAAGTCGAATCTGTACATTAAATATTTTTTGAAAAATCTAATTGAAATAGACATTATTATCGATACAGAGTCCGAATCTATAGTTTTTAGAATTTTTGTCTGTCTGTTTGTTTGTCTGTCTGTCTGTCTGTCTGTCTGTCTGTCTGTCTGTCTGTCTGTCTGTCTGTCTGTCTGTCTGTCTGTCTATCTGTTACCGCATCACGAGAAAACCACTGGACAGATTTTAATGAAATTTGGTATGATGATAGCTGGTCAACATATAGGATACTTATTACCGCTAGAAAATATCTCATTTCTGAGAAAAAATATAAAAACTGCATTATAAAAGTATACTAATATGTAAAACCTAAGAATTTGTTTTTTGGTCATCTGAACGGGAGCGGAGCCGTGGGCAATATTAGTATAAAATAATTTTATATAAATGGCATCCTTTAACTTGTGTCAATAGATAAGTATGTACGGACAAAATATTATCTAAACGCGGGTAGTACATAAAAGATAAAAATATTTTTTTAAATTATCTTAATAATATTGATTGGTAATCGTTTTTGATGCTGGAAATTTAATGACAAACTGGAAATTTTAACTCAATCTTGACTAACCTCTTTGAAAAACATGCTCTTTTCCGCTCTATTAAATTAAAATATCTTCCTGCATCATGACTTACATAAGAGGTTAAAATTTTAATGGCTAAACGCGACGCAGCTATATCTTAACATAAATTAAAACCTACAGAAGAGAATCTGCTGAAGTTTAAACGACTCCGCAACTGATACAATAAGGTATATAGGGACGCTGGACGGAGTTACATCCATATCTACTGCAATTGATAATGGTAATATTGCCAAAACCTGCAAGCTCTAAGAACCTTTCGGAATTGGTCGTAGGTCTAGAAGCGTCTCTTATAATACACTTGATCTCAACGCTCTGAACTAATTTTTTGCCTCCTTCACTCCTCTGGATAATAATGTAAGACTTTGCACACTGAATTAACTTCATTGAGCATCACCTCCTAATAATCCCACATTTAATTAAAAGAAGCTTAGAATTGTATACACTTTCTAATCAGTGCCGGATTCAACCTTAGTGCCGCTCCCGGACAAAGTAAAAAATTCCGCCCTATTATCGAATTTTTTTCAACAAAGTTTTTTTTATTTATTATTTCTTTACAAAACTTAAAATATTCATTATCAATTTTTCGAAAAAGTTACCTACTAATTAGCCTTTTTTATTTTTTGGAAAATAAAAAAAGCATTTTCGATAACGAAAAGAATTTTTTTTTTCTGTCCTCCGAATTTTGCCGCCCCTAAAAATTTGCCGTCCTGCGCATTAGCCCCGGGTGCCCCTAGTGTGAATCCAGCGCTGTTTCTAATAAAAATAATATTAAGAATACTTTCAATACGATAATCATGTTTCATTTGTGCATTAGATAATTTGTAATATGTTTTTGTTTGTAAGATCCGGAAGAATCGCGAACTTTCGTGACAATACCACGATTTCAAGGGGGTTGCCCTATGACTCTGGGAACGGTTACTGATGAAAATTCAATCACCGCCTATCCGGACTACACCTGGCATGACAATCAAGGACATAATTGTGATGGATTAACATCTGTATTCAGAGTCGCTGTTAGTATATTTTGGACATTTCTTTTTTTTCATAGCTTAATTTTTTTTATTTCAATAGCAGATGGCAGCTGTTCCAGTCCTATCATCATATTTATTAAGATCCCAGTAAGAATTAATTTCTAACAGATTATAATTAATTACCTTACTTACATCATAGCACCAAAGTAATATTTTTTGTAATGGTTTTTTTTTTTTTTTTTTATTTCTGTTTGGCGGCTTTTTATATCACTGCGACCATTTCTGGTCTATTGTGATCGCCGCCATATTGTACTAGAGTGAACCACTAAACCCTGCTGATGTTAAGAACTGCAGGATTTTCTTAGGGTTACACTCTTTTATTTCATCTAGGCTTGGAAATTGTTTACCTAGATGAATACTACGTTTGTGCATGAGCGGTCCACATTCCCACAGAAGATGCAGTGGCGTTTCGTCTGCCTCCCTGCAAATTCTGCAGGTTCGCGTTTCGCTCAGCCCCAGGTTGAACATGTGCTTATTTAAGCAGCAGTGTCCAGTAAAGGCCCTTACCAGTATTCGTAAGGTTTTTCTGTTTAGCCCTAGCATAAGATTGTTAAACCTTTTGTCGTAGGCTCTAATTAATGCCTTGGAGTGATTCATTCCATTTGATTCAGTCCAGGTTTTGTTTGCAGTCTTAAGACATGCTATCATTAGGGTTCTTTGAACTAGGCTCTTAGGTATCCCACAGAAGGGCTCAGGGCCCTGCTGTATGCCAAGAGCTCCCCCTCTAGCGAGCTTATCGGCACACTCGTTGCCAATTACACCTGCATGACCCGGTACCCATCTTAGCACTACTTTGTTACTTCTTGCTAAGAGGTTTAGTCGGTCCATGCACTGCTCCACTAACTTTGATGAGACTATGTTTGAGTCCAGCGCTTAGCAAAATTAGACAAATTAGCTTCTACACATTCTAGAATGGCATAGACTTCTGCTTGGAAAATAGAGGCAAATTGTCCGAGGTGTATGCTTTTGCTAAACCTCGGTCGCTCTCCATATATCCCACAGCCAACCTTTGCTTCTATTTTTGAGCCATCTGTAAACCAGATGAGAGATCCGTTTTTATGGATTACCTGGCTTTTAGTCCAGTCTTCCCTTGACGGAAATTCAATTGTATAATACTTTACAAATGAGTGCCGAATTAACATGGCATCAGTCGTCATACCAAGTAGCGGCATTTCTTGTAATGAGTCCTGTAGGGTCCTCATTTTTCGTGAGAGCCAATGAGTTCTGCCTTGGATTTTAGCTCTTTGCATGCTGGCTTTTGCCTCCTTTTGTATAAAAAGGTCTAAAGGTGGCAGCCCGAGTAATGCATTTAGTGCCTGACCAGGGCACGTAGACATGGCTCCTGTGGTCATTAGACAGGCTGTTCTTTGTAGGCTGTCTAGTTTTTGAATGGCTGTCGTCTGTTTGGCCTTATTGGACCAGGCTACCGATGCATACGTGATAATTGGCCTCACAATAGCAGTGTAAGTCCAAAGTGTGTTTTTGGGATTTAACCCCCAATTTTTACCCAACATGCGGCCACTTATTCCCAATGCCATCTTGGCTTTACTTAGGACTGCAGTTAGATGCGGGTTCCACGTCAGTTTTTGGTCTAATGTTAGTCCCAAGTATTTGACTTGCGTGGAAAATGCGATTTGTTTGCCATTAAGCTTTGGCATGACTAGTTTGTCTAACCTTCGCTTGTTTGTAAAGGGCACAATGACAGTTTTGTCAGCGTTGACTGATAGGTCACTTCTAACACACCAGTCACTGACAATGTTCAGACCCTTCTGCATTATACTTGAAAGTATAGATTGGCAGAAGCCCCTTGCTATGATTACCAAGTCATCAGCATAGCCTTGCGCATCAATGCGGAGTTCTGCCAGTTTGTGTAGTAATTCATCCACAGCAAGTGTCCACAGTAGTGGGGATAGAACTCCCCCTTGCGGACATCCTCTTGCTGTGGATATATAGATAGTTGTGTCGTGGAGGGCTAGTTTTGCTCTTCTGCTAGTGAGCATAGATTTTACCCACTTTACCGTTGTTGGATCAACTCCACAACCTTACTGAAGCTGGGTTGTGCTACCTTTCCCTCCGCACGGGGAGCCTTTTTGATTTGCATCCCCGGCGATTCTTCCTCCGACCTAGGCCTTTTCTTGGCCTTCGGGTCAGGCGGAATATTTTTGATCGGAATATCCTTCCAAGGCCTAACGGCTAATGCGCGGGCTTCGTCGAACCTCACATTAGCCGCCAGGAGCCTTCGGAGTCTCTTCCGAGCAGCACCGTTTAATCTGGCCGGATGGCTTAGGGATTCTTCCGTCCCTGGGTTGGAGTCATCAATGTCTCCTTCCCCGGCCGGATTGGTCCCTTCAGCCCTCAGGTTAGATACCTTTGACGGAGAGGCTAATAAAACCTCCTCCATCAGGGTTATGGTTTCTCCTAAAAGAGGAGAAAGAGGATCTCCAGTTGGAGATAAAGGTTTGGGTGTTTTATTTTTATTTTTATCTTCTTCCATATACGTCCCACGAGAAGCTAGGGAAATAAACATGCCCACCGACAGAGCCCCGCATGTCGATGGGAGGACAGAAATTACTACCCGATTCGTCCAGGTGTCGGGTAGCCACCGTTTGCGACTGAGCTCCCCCCCAGCCACGCATCCCTCGGCACGGTTCGGATCACACCTTGGATTGGGTTTATTTACAGATATATAAATATAATACATACAAATATACATATATACATTAACATATAATGTACTATAAATAAATAAATAAGTAAATAGATAGCAATAGCATATATAAATATATTTAATAAAGCAACAAGCGCTCGGTGGTTTCGGTTATGTCTATTTCCTAGTGAACTAGACCAAATAACAGGGCTGGCAACCTCGAGAAGGATAGTCCACCGAACTAGCCTTGGGGATCTTCGCGACTGAACACGTCACTCTCCCCCAAGACCAACGCCCCCCTACCGTCTCTGAAGGAGACAGTAAGGTAGGCCTGCGCCTATACTACCATGCAAAGCATGCCGTGCGGGAACCGTAAAAGCATAGGTCCAGGCCCGCCCCAAATTATGAAAGTAAATTTCTATGAAAGTTTAATAATTATTAAATCCCGGTCCGGATTAAGAATTGTGGTGACCCTTCGGCAACAAAGGAGTTAAGCCCCTAAAGAAGTTTTCTATTTCTTATTTGTAAAATATTGCATTGCAAAATAATATGCAGATGATATAAAATTGTGACGTTGTAAAGAAAAAGGTAGAATAAATATATAGTACGACAAAAGTAAATTCATTAATTTAATAATTTAAAGTTACAATTACATTTTTTTACTGTGCGGCCCGGGACTGCAACTCCGGTTGCCACCTATATCTGGCTCTGGTTGAATGATAATAGTAGTTTTGTTAAAGCTGTGGTTTACCTCTTTATTCTTTGAATTGTATTTATCTCCGGTTTATTCAGTACATTCAAATGTAGCCAACCACTTAGCCTGTGTATGTATGTACATATTTACATATGTGTGTGAATGATGATGTCCTCCTAGCCGATTCCCGCTACGGCGGCCAATCTCATTGAGATTAGCCAACTGCGCAGGAGATATTATAGTGTTCAAGTGTACGCGCAGACACAAGTGCACTCTCTTTTCCTACCACTCTCATACTCCGGTGGGACGACCACTCGACACGACCGGTGAGAGTTAAGGCGCAGGACCGACGGCTTTACGTGTTCTCCGAGGCACGGGATGAAACACCGCCAACTTTCCAACTCCGGGCTGTTACTGAGACTTACTATAAAGAAAGACTCAATAACTAAACTTGGCCCGACCCAGGACTCGAACCCAGGACCCCCGGGTGTGCAGCCGTACATGCTAGCCACTACACCACCGAGGCAAATATACGTATGTCAATTGTGGAACAGATTTCCAAAAAGGGGAAAAGAAAAAGATTGGTCAAAATATATTACGTAGCTTATGAGATAAAGATAAAGTATATTTTCTACATATCATATTACTAGCGACTCACCTTCGCTTCGCTCGGGTTCGTCCCTAGCTTGATTCCCCATACAATCTTTCATCCCCATTTTCGTCCCCTTAAGGGATAAAAAGTATCCTATGTCCTTCCCAGGGTCTCAAACTATCTTCTTACTAAATTTTATCTAAATCGGTTTTGTAAATCCAGAGATTACAACGTCACAAACTCACAAGCTCACAAACTCATAAACTTTACCTCTATATAATATTAGTATAGATAATTATTTCTAAATATCATATTACAATAACTCATTTTTCAACCTACTTCAAAAAGGAGGAGGTTCTCAATTCGACTGTATTTTTTTTTTATGTTTGTTACCTCAGAACTCCGTCATTTATTAACCGATTTGGACAATTTTTGTGTTGTTTGAAAGTGTATACTTCCAGATTGCTCCCATTTAAATTTAAAAAAAAATACCACCCCTAAGGGAGGATAAATAGCTAATGATGAATTTAACCTACTTCTAATTGTCATATTGACTTGAAACTTTGCAAGTGTTTTATTTTCGTTGTTGTTGATGTTGTTGTTGTGTTGTATTTCCGTCGATAGTACAGTCGTTCAGTATTGTTGACCTGATCTGATGGTAAGGCCAGAAGGTGGATAGGTGGAACTCTTCAACGGCTAATAGTAGATACTTTGAGTTTGGGCTTATTTTGTTTGAATGAATTCTTACTTTGCTACACTAAAAAGGGAAAATTAAAAACTTTTTAACAAAAAAATAAAAACAGACTTCAAACAAAAGCACTAAAAAGTAAAAATAACTGATTGGTAGTTTTCATTTACTATACACACCTAATCAAATATTATCGAAATCGGTGCCAGCCGATACAAAGCAAAGCACACCGACCTCGAAAATATTTGATTAGGTATGTATAGTAAATGAAAACTACCAATCAGTTATTTTTTACTTTTTAGTGCTTTTGTTTGAAGTCGGTTTTTATTTTATCATCTTAGTGTCTCTTAAATTTGGTAACAGTTAAAGTTTCATCAAAATTAATTTAGTAGTTTATAAGATATGAACGTAAAGATTGTAGTTATGGATTAGTATTTCATATTTAAAATTTCAATATTTTTAGACAAAAAGGCAGTCGTAGTCCAGTGGTAACGCGCTCGCTTGGGAAACCGAGTGAAGTGGGTTCACATCCCGGGTCTCGCACCTCTGACATTTTCATGTGCGAATCATTTCTAATATGATTACTACTTGCCTTACGGTGAAGGAAAACATCGTGAGGAAACCTGCATGTCTGAGAGAACTTAGCAAGTTTCAAAAGTCATGTGAAGTCCGCTAACCCGCACTTGGCCAGTGGAACTTGGCTCGTATTGAAGGGAAGCCCGTGCCCCGCAGTAGGATGTTAAAAAATGGGCTGAATACATAGTATTTCATATTAATTAATGTATTATTTACTATGTAACTTGTGAATAAAAATGTGATAATTAAAAATAATTAAAAAGAGTTACTATTCGAGAATAAAGAAAGACCGATGATTGTTACATGTGACCTAATACTATTCTCTAAATTTCAGATAGATAAGTGCAATCGTCTATGGGTCATGGATGCAGGGACGATAGGGGATAAAGCTGTGTGTCCTGCGCAGCTTCTCGCTTTTGACTTGAATACCGATCAGCTAATCTACCGACACCGACCAGGCCCTAACGCTTATATAGCCACTTCGGTGTTCATCACTCCAGTAAGGGCTCAATCTAATTAAGTTCAAGTTTATTAGTTCATACATTTCCATAAAATATAATTAAGTTCAAATTATTGATTTGTTTTTTTGGGCTTTATTAAGCTTATTGACAATGTATGTACCAATATACTACTATATATTTACTTTTATACGTCCAAAGCTTCAATAATTTACCATTGTAAAAATATGCTTTGTGATGAACAGAAAAATCTATGCAAACGTGGTATAAAGAGCGTAAGTCTAGTAGGTAATATCATCTGCGAAATATCTGTTTGTTATTTACAATATATTTTTTATGAATCTACTGGACGCTAAAAGTTAAAATTTGGTACATATAATATGTTTAAAGAGTTAGATGTTCACGTATGTAAAGCTAGAAAGGCAAAGTGAGCAGAATCGCTTAAAACTATGTGCATAAATTAGTGTTCATTTAGTTCTAATTTAGTGCCAAAAACTAAAATTTGATGCTCTTATATTTTGGCAGAAAATTAGAAAACTGCTCGCTTTGAGTTAAGCTAGCCGCCGCCACCACCTCACCGCCTCACACGCTAACCGCATAACACAGCGTCAAATCAATTTAGCATTAATTTAGTGCTCAATTAGTGCTGGCCATCCATGAAGACAAATATAAAAATTTATAGTTAGTTTTTTATATAACAAAACTTGCTAATTTAACAGTATGAGCGGGGACACTAGTAAAAAAGTCACACCTGAGTAAGTTATCAACTGATGATATGTATTAATAAATAATTAAGTGCTCAATAAGTGCTGCTCATATGTACATTGAGACCAAATCATGAAATATAGTTTTTTTTTTATTTTCAACTAACAAAACTTGCTGACTTAACAGTATGAGCAGAGAATCTAGTAAAAAGTGAAACCTAAGAGAGTTACTACCTGATGATATTGATTAAAAATTAAATGCTTAGTTAGTTCTGGCTATACATTGAGGTACAATCACACAATTTTTTTGTTTTGAAATAACAAAACTTGCTGAGATTATAGTATAAGCAGAGAACCTAGTAAAAGTGAAACCTAAGATGGTTATCGCCTAATGATATTAATTAATAATTTTGTGCTTAATGAGTGCGGGCTATAAATTAAGACAAATATATAAAACTAGCATTGCCCGCGGCTCCGCCCGCGTTCATATGACCAAAACCAAATTCTTAGGTTTAATATATTAGTATACTCGTATTAGTATATTAGTTGACCCGGATAACCAGCTATTACCATACCAAATTTTTTCAAAATCTCTCCAGTGATTTTTCTGTGATGCGGTCACAGACAGACAGACAGACAGACAAAAATTCTTAAAACTATAGGTTCGGCCTCTATTAGCGATAATAATGTGTATTTCAATAAAAATTTCCAAAAGATATTTAAAGCACAGATACCGCTTCATGAAATTTTAATGTATCTATAGGTGTAACTAATTTATAAAGCCAAAAAGATTGTTTTTTGATCATTTAAACGCGGGTAATTTAGTAGTAATTCTAATAAAATCATAGAAAGGTCGAATATGTACATTCAATTTTTTGGAATTAAAACTACGTATTTTAAAGACACATGGCTACATCTATTGACAAATATCTAAATAATAAAAATAAATATTCATTAAAATATTTTTTTAATGAATAAAATAGTGCTATTGATATACTTTTTCAAGATTAGCTATTTTTAATAGTTTTTGACATATTTAGTAAGTTAACTTGCTAAAATCTATATAGTATCATCGTTTTTTTATTCTAACCAGTATTTTTTCTCAGAAATGAGATATTTTTCTGCGGTAAAAAGTATCCTATATGTTGACCCGGATAATCAGCTATGACCATACCAAATTTCATCAAAATTCGTCCAGTAGTTTTTCTGTGATGCGGTAACAGACAGACAGACAGACAGACAGACAAAAATTCTAAAAACTATAGATTCGGCCTCTGTATCGATAATAATGTCTATATCAATAAGATTTTCTAAAAAATATTTAATGTACAGATTTGACTTAGTTAGAAATTTATTATATGTAAAGACTAGCGACTCACTCTCGCTCCACTCGGTTTCGTCCCTACTTACATTTTAACGTTTAGTGTAGATTTCTCGGAGATGAGATATTTTCCCAGAGTAAAAAGTATCCTATATGTTGACCCGTATAACCAGCTATCATCATATCAAATTTCATCAAAATCCCTCCAGTGGTTTTCCGTGATGCGGTAACAGACAGACAAACAAACAGACAGACAGACTGAAAAGATTCTAAAAACTGTAGATTTGCCTCTGTAACGATAATAATGACTATTTCAATAAGATTTTCCAAAGAATATGTAATGTACAGATTCGGTTCAGTTAGAATTTCTATTATATGTATATGTCGGAGGAAGCTATGAGTCGGGTTGATTGTTGTTTGCATGATCAATAACGCACAATATTATTTGTTTACATTTTAATTACTTTTAAAATTCTTAATTTGATTTTATTTGATTTATTACATTCTTGATTAATTCAATAAATAAATGATAAAAATGCATTATTTTAATCGACACGAATGTGTTAATATTTTTGTAATACAATTTAATAGATTTGAATGAGTGTTAATAATGAGCTCTTTATTACCTTTAATGTACAAATGTTTAAAAATTATTTTTTTCTTTATAAATATTGTTGTTATAAGATCGATTTTTATCTTATAAATTCAAAAAAACATTTTTCGGATAATTTATTATTATTATTAATGTTTATTATATAAATAATAAATTATAATTAATTATATTAGTGTCTCTCAGTGGTGTAGCCAAGTCGGAGTGCCGGTTTTATTAATATAATATTTTAAATAATCCGTGATTGATGATGTAGTCCTAATTTGCTAAAATTGGACAGATTAAATTACCTACATAGCGACACAGATCATGGCACTAAATTAGCACTAAATGAGCACTAATGTATACACATAGTTTTAAGCGAGACTGCTCACTCAGATGTCACTTTTTTACTAGTGTCCCCGCTCATACTGTTAAATTAGCAAGTTTTGTTATATAAAAAAATAACTATAAATTTTTATATTTGTCTTCATGGATGGCCAGCACTAATTGAGCACTAAATTAATGCTGAATTGATTTGACGCTGTGTAATGCGGTTAGCGAGTTAGGCGGTGACACTGCTAGCTTAACTCAATGCTAGCAGTTTTCTAATTTTCTGCCAAAATATAAGAGCATCAAATTTAGCTTTTGACACTAAATGAGCACTAATTTATGCACATAGTTTTAAGCGATTCTGTTCACTTTGCCTTTTTAGCTTTACATACGTTAGATGATCCAGTGGTGGACGTAACTTTTAATATCGTTTTACTTTAAAATAAAATATGTATGTAGAGTAAAAAAATAAAAAAAAGGTTAAGAGGGGTTACGTTACAGAGTTAAGAGCTTAAATTATTTATTCACGTATTTATGTAATTACTCTAGACTAGCTGTGTGCTTACGACTGCACGCACCACTATCAAGATATTGCCGATTTAACATAGTAATTTTTTTAGTTGTGTCTCAAATAAAGATCAGACAACACGTGAAACAGGTATCAGAAAAAAAATTCAATCACATGAAAATATTTTCATTAATCTATATATTAATACGTGAAGCAAAAACTTTGTACTTCTTTTTACGAAAATTGCGCGGACGGAGGAGTATGAAGTTTTCCACACCTATAGTTAATAATAATATAGTGAAGGAGTGCAGAATGTTAATATTTATTTTTAATTATGCATAAAAAGTACATTAAATTAATAAAAAATCATTAAACACACTACCATGTATTTGACACACACGCATATATACTCGTTTGTTTATTCCTAAAGTCTTAGCTTTAGTTTTATAAATTAAAAAATCAATAATAATCATGGTTGAACTTCCAGCACTCGGCGAACTCTAGTATGAATAATATGTCTAACTATTTTAAAATTAGTGACCCATTTTAACGATAAATATCTATAGGCACGGTATCACAAATGTAAAATTTATGGATCATCTAAGAGATGTAAAATGAAATTTCTTAGAGTTATAATTAGAGCAAGGACAAGTTTAAGAAATATACTTTATTTGTAGACAATCGAATACCAAGTCTTTCTCTATTATTTGTGTTCAAAGTGTTATTGTATTGACTGATCTATTTAAATACAGACTTTTAAACCTTTAATACGATATGCGATTCTCAATCACATTTTTGTAATAGTTTATATTTTTATTACTTAAGGTGGTAGATGTACGAGGCGAAGGGCCTCATGATTGTGCTGACACGTTCGTGTATGTGGCGGATGTTTCTGGCTTCGGACTGTTAGTAGTCGATGTGGCCAACGACCGCTCCTGGAGAGTTACTCACCGCTTTATGTATCCATACCCCTCTCGAGGCAATTTTACTATTGACGGTAATTTTTTAATTTTTTAAATATAATATATAAGTGATAATATCATGTATTTACTCGGCTGCCGCAGGAGGGGCGGCAAAGTTTTTCGGCTGTACGTATTCCTTTTGAGCAACAATATAATTAACGATTAATAAGGAAGCTAAAAATATAGAAGCTGTTTAAAAACTAATTCAAATCATTTCTAAGCCACCATTTTAGCGTCATTACAGAAAAGTAAATGTAAAAACTCTTAACGAGTTTTACGCAGTCTGATTTGTATAAATATATTTGATTATTTAAAAATATTTACAAATAAGATTTTTGACTGAAGTTTTTCTTAATTACCTATAATCGTCTCAATAATTACATATTACCTAAGTAATTTGACATAATTATATAATTATTTGCTGTCCACTGTTTTAGAAATACTGGACAAAAATTCCTATTAGGTGTTACAAGTTAAAAATTAGACATTATAATAATGTAAGTGTTACTAAGTAAAAACTATGAATTTCGTTGTTTTAAGTAAACTTTGAACCATTTTATGAGTACCTAATTGATTATTTTTTCAAAGGTGTAAGCTTCGATGTTATGGATGGTATATTTGCTTTGGCGCTCTCTCCGTACGTACCTGGTCAGGATCGCATCTTATATTTCCACGCCTTAGCGTCCACTACAGAAAATGTAGTACGCACCAGTGTCATCAGGAATGACTCATTCATTACCAATTCCAATGCTAATCCCAACTCTATTAAAGTAAGTATGACGATACCTTATAGTTTTATATTTGATCAAACTCTGCTATTAATGAAACTAATTTTGTTTAACAATTCAATCAATACTTTCATACTTCGAGTTACATTAATTTAATATATTAATTAAAAATCTAATCCAAAAGTACACGAGGTCACCAAATGCTGTCGTCGACCACAAAAAAATAGTAGGCGTCTACTTTCAGTCAGCGTGCTAGTAAAGCGGGTTCAAAGCCCGGATTTTCCACCTCTTAGATTTTCAAGTGCAATTCATTCGTATATATTTTGACGACACGTTTGGCTTGTTCACTACAAACTGAGCCAAACGTGTCGTCTTGATAACCTTGTTAGATCTGCCTTCCGCAAGAATAATAAGTTTTAAGAATTAGTATTATTAGTTTGTATAATATAAAAGCATTACAAACTAATAAAATAAAATTTAAGTTCTCAAAACAATAAAGCACATTTAAATAAAGTAAGTAAAATGCGCGTTAATACACACGGATTATGCTGTCTCGTTCTATATCACTATCTCGCGACATCTCGTACAAAAAAATATTGACTTCAGTCTCGTAAAATATGAACGAGATTACATTCCCTAGTAGTGGACTGTAAAAAATGTTACCAGATATTACTTTAAATATTATAAGTAGGTACTAATTGTATTACTCTCTCACTTACTTAAAATGAGAAAAAATATTAAAAAAAAATATTGAAATGATTACTAAACTCAGAGAGGTAATAATACATTCTAATTTAATATGCACTAAAGTCATCCAAAAACTAAAATGAAAAGTAAGAATTTCCTATCCAAAGTACTTGAGCGTCTCGTTTTCAAAAAGCGGATGAGTTTGAAAAACACATCACTTCCCACAAAATTACTGAGTTTAGCGCCTGTTAACTTTATTCATGAAAATCCGTTGAGGTGTGCAATTATAGAGTTCGACCACGAGAGTTTCTGGGTTCTGGCAAGAATTGACGTACTGCGTTGGCTCTGATTAGTCCGTAGTTACCTGCATTGAAGTCGACAACGTATACGAATACATGATTCGCACTCAAACTGGCTCCCAGTCAAAGCTGGCGCTCCTCAGGATGGCGTATTGTTTCTTCTTTTCTTTTCTATTTTTATTAGTAATATTTGTCAACTCCTCGTGGAGTGAGTCGTTTGGGCTGCAATTAAATCCTTCTAAAACTCAAGTTATTATTATTTTCAGTCCTAAACTCATATCCAGAAATGGCTTTCTAACTCTCCCACCTGTAGATTTAAATGGCGTTAGTATACCATACAACAAAACTGTTAAAAATCTTGTTGTTGTTATGGATCAGAACTTATCATGGGTTCCACAGATAAGTGAAGTGAGCAGGTAGATGTTTGCTTCGGCAGCATTCCTGTGGACCTTATCACCTTATCACTTAGGGATGTGAAAAATAGTTTACGTCCTATCCTCAGACCTACTGAATATACACACAAAATTTCATAAGAATCGGTCAAGTCGTTTCGGAGGAGTTTTATTACAAACACTGTGACACGAGAATCTTATATAAGTGTGTGTGTATATGCGTTTGTAGGAGGAGATTCTAAATGTTGACCTGAGTAATGAGTTACCGCTTCACAAAATTTCTTTAAAATAGGTTCATTATACTTTTTGCGTGAAACGCGCACACACAAGCAGACATAAACAAAAAGACAAAAATTATTTTAATAAATATTTCATGTACAGATTTCGCTAGTTATTGTATTGATATATGTATAGATGTTGATAATGCGTAAATGGAATTAATAACATTTGCATAATATGTTTTCAGCAAAATATTCTCAATCTCGCGAGATCTCGTTAAGTTCGAAACCTCTCGAGTGTGGCTCTATGGTTTCGCGAGATCTCAGCTAAATCTAAAATCTCACGAGATTGCGTTCCTTATTAACTACTAAAGTGGTACAGTAACAAACTACTACTACTACAAAAATTAAAAAAAGAAAGTGTTTGCAATAATAACGTATTTTGACCTCCTAATCACGAAAATTTCCATTTTGAATATAAAAAATGAAGGACAACCTCTTTTCGTTCGGTTTGCATAATCACGCATTCCTAACAGATTTAGACTATTTTAGTTTTCCTCAGAAAGGGTATGTGTGTGTGTGAAAGGGTAAGGGTATGTGTGAAAGGGTGCGTTTTCGTTATGATATTGAGGTTAAAATACCTTAATATACTAAATTTCATAATAATTTCTCAAAGTATTATGACCAAAATTTGAAAATACATACGTGTATTAAATTGGCGTATTAATAAGTCAAACTATACATACGGATCTAATAAATAGCCTCTTTTTTTGAATTCGTCGTTTATGAAGTGCATTATCGTTAGAAAATAAGGTTCCCATACAGACATATTATTCAAACTATGAAAATTATAAAAAACATACATCTTGCTATTTTCATAAAATGTTATACTTTACAGGTTTTTCCTGAAGAAAGGCCAACTCAATCAGCAGCTGAAGCTATTGATGATAATGGAATTATGTACTTTGGGCTGAATGATCCTCCCAGCATCTGGTGTTGGAATACCGGAACGGAATTTTCCCCGCGTAATTTCTATCCAATTGCCATCGATGAAGAAACACTTCAATTTGCAAGCGGCGTGAAAATTGTAAATAATCTAGCTGGTTCACAAGAGCTTTGGATTATGACAACAAGTTTGCAGAGGATGTTGGCTGGCATACTAACTGATGATAGAATTAATTACAGAATACTTACTGAAAAAATACCAAAGTTGCTTGAAAATTCTGCATGTATGCCGCCACCAAAGAACAACTAATATAATTGTTGGTTACTACGCTGATCGTATTTCACGTTTTGGTATGTTGATACCAAAACGTATATACAAATATGGTGCTGTAACCTTTCTAAAGTGAAGTCAAACTGGCTACTGAGAAAAATTGCGTGGTATAGGGCATGGCCATTGGCCATTATTATTATTAAATGCTTTTATGTAAATATATAAATTTGTCTCTTATTTTTACATAACCTAATATTTGTGAATTGGTGATATAAAGCATTTTTTAATTATATGAAAAAAAATCAAGAGGATAAATTTGTTTAATGCGGACATTTTATTTATTAGCAAGAATACATTACTTGTCTTAAAATTTTAGAGTACATTTGGATTTTTCGTGCAATGCTCAAATCGATGTGTTTATCTTCCAACCCCAACAATTACATCTTCAATAATTGACGGAACGACTTTCTCTGTCTTAAATTTAGAAAAATATGTAATCTCCAGTGGAACTAGGATTAGATTTTAATTAAATTTTACGTCTGCAATTATTAATATAATTCACTATTATTTTTATGTTGATATATTATATATAAAAAAAAATTGGAAATTATGCCACTTTTTAATTTTATCATTGGTACCAAATGGCAATAATTAAAAAGAAACTCATTAAAACCGGTCTACTTAATTGGTGAAGATATCGCGTAAAATAAAGTCGGTTACAAAATATTGTACAATAATATATTATTTATTATATGTAGTACCTGGGCCACCGAGCTTCGCTCGGGGTTTTTAAAAAAGAAACTAAAAACTTGAATGAATACAAAAAAAAAACAAAAAAAAATTATACCTTTGTATCTGACCGGGATTCGAACCCGGACACCTATGATTGTCAATCTTGCGTCTTTTTTTTAACAAAACTAAAAACTTGAATAAATATTTAAAAAATAAAAGTAAAAACTTTGTATGCGACCGAGATTCGAACTTGGACACCTGTGATCGCACTATATACTAAATTTCATGAAAATCGTTGGAGCCGTTTCCGAGATACTAATTATATATATATATGTCGTGTTATCCATATACTACGAACATCATCTTTGGTGGTTACTCATCTTGTGGGCGTTATCAGGGCTCAAATAATAAAGTATTCAGTGCTTAATACACAATTTAATCAGGGAAGTCACAATGTTATAAACTTGAAACGGTAATTCTAATGATTTAGAGCTAGCGGGTTCACAGTCACCGATTATCGACTTCCAACCACAATATCAAAGCAAAACTGTATGCTACACCATGATCAACCGTCTTTACTAAACCACGTATCTGCAAAGAATGTCGTGATGGCGTCTCGACCCCGCTCGAGACTAAATCTCTGCTCTAAATTCAAAATCTATTTAGAAGCAATAAAAAGTAAATTAAAGAACATAGTGACTTTAAACAATAATAAGGTTTCATAACAGAAAAAGGTAACTAAATCCTCCTCCGTCTCGGCCATCCTGCTGTTCACACGCCCTCGTGTGATCTTGAAAGTCTAGCATAAACGTCATCTGTAGACAGAAAAAAGCAAATTTTTAGAAAACATTGTTCGGCCAATCCTTACCAAATATGACCACAGTGGCCAATCTCACTGAGTCTAATAATCGGTGCAGTAGATATTATATTGCAAAAGTTTACTTAGTAAAAACAGACACCCTCAAATTCCAATGTACCTAACACAATGAGTATTGGGTAAATGTTTAGCTTTATGTGTAAACAATAAACAGCGATTCACATCATACTTCATTCATTCTTCCTAACTAGTTTTCTTTGAGACAAATTTCTCAAAACTTAATTTTTAAAATGACTGAAACCCTAAAGACTATACACACAACTTACGTATCATTGAGTACAAGTTACAGAAGTAAGTGTCTCATATGTTAATCAAGTTAAGTCAGTGCCACACAAATCAAACGATGCGACAGAACCCAACCGATGCCACACAGACAACTCTCGCCATTCAGGCTACATGTGCCACAAGGTTACTTTTGCCACACAGGCAACTCTCGCCACTCAGGCTACATTTGCTACAAAGACTCGTCAACGCCAAATAGGCACCCACAATTGTCTAAATACCACCTTCCACCATCGTCGCACAGCAATATCAGAATCATACAGCCTCATCGTGCTACTTCGGCTTGTCAATGTTACATAACTTCGTCAATTCAGTCACCCTAGCTTGTGCTACGTAGGTTCATTAATGTTAAGCTGCTAGATATTATTGGAAATAACTACGATCACAACCGTCTTTAATGGTACATTCGGAAATCACTTGCCTCACATACCTAAACAAAATGGAAACGTCTCACCATAGAAAATTCACATTAGATTAAATGAAACATCCACAGATATCCATTTTTGGCATAGCCCAAGCATCCCTGGATACCGTCTTCTTCTAGGGCATCGTATACGTCTGATGTGATCTGGTTTAGCGTAAACTAAACTGGCTAAAGCAAGGCGTCCTCTTTACGCTACATACATATTTTGAACCCTTGAAATGAAGAACCTGAAAATTCATATTATTTAATATTGTGCCACAGTTGTTATTACCATCGGCCCGATCTAATTATGCTTAATCTTTGGACCAAATAAGGACATATGAAATCGGTATTATAATCAAAGATTTCTATTTCAGCGTGCGTATGAGAATGTCTTCGGAGTGTACACAAACATTAGTTTGTCACTGTATCACCATTAATACAGTTGACTATTTCTCATAGTTCACTTGATGAACTGCAAAAAAATTTTTGTTAGATAAAAACATCACTTTTATACCACCTCGATTATAGTATAATCAGAGATCATGTTATTTTCCCAATATATTTTGCAAATATCATCTTTAAATGTTCCGACGGGAAATAGTAAGCCTTTTAGTTAAATTTTATTTTATCAAAAATATCAACTCAATATTTTCACTTTAAAAATCCTGAAATAAAACAAATATAAAGCAAACAATTACAATACAAAACATTTTTGACACTCTAAAATTCTTTTCATCATTCGTAATTAAAAAGGAGGTCCTTATAAATTTCATTGAACACAAATATTTCAAAAATAATTCTCGTAATTTATCGATTGAATCCTGAAATAAACAAATTTTCCATTTACTTTCTAAACACATATTGTGTTCAAAAATATTTCTTCGATAATAATATCAAGAAAATCAAATCCAGCTAGCAACAAATATTTGTCGACGTCATGTCATTCCATAAAAATTAAATTGAGACATCTGATTATTTTAGTCTTTTGAGCATCTTGCATATATCATATCATGATTAATAGTAGGTACATCTTCTGTAAAACAACCCGCATATGCATCGTCATTTTGTGCGTCATTTTTAATAACATTTGACATCGCATTTTGCTTCAAAGTCTGAAAAAATTTTTGCAGCAAAATTTTCAAATGGCCACTGTCATCTATCTCTGCCCTGTTCTTCGGGTATCATACCACTTCTGATGTCGTGTTATCCATATACTACGAACATCATCTTTGGTGGTTACTCATCTTGTGGGCGTTATCAGGGCTCAAATAATAAAGTATTCAGTGCTTAATACACAATTTAATCAGGGAAGTCACAATGTTATAAACTTGAAACGGTAATTCTAATGATTTAGAGCTAGCGGGTTCACAGTCACCGATCATCGACTTCCAACCACAATATCAAAGCAAAACTGTATGCTACACCATGATCAACCGTCTTTACTAAACCACGGATCTGCAAAGAATGTCGTGATGGCGTCTCGACCCCGCTCGAGACTAAATCTCTGCTCTAAATTCAAAATCTATTTAGAAGCAATAAAAAGTAAATTAAAGAACATAGTGACTTTAAACAATAATAAGGTTTCATAACAGAAAAAGGTAACTAAATCCTCCTCCGTCATTATACATTACAAGTAGACAATTCAATTTTATTTATTTGTATAGACAAATCTAGGAAATCGAATTTTATTCATTTTTATAAAGCTTTGCAATGTATGTATGTACAGTCGATGGCTATAGAATAATTTAATACCACCGAGTTGATCTGATTTTAAAAATGGAAAGTCGATAGATTACCTCTTATGATAGGTACTTTTCGTTACTCTATAATGATGATCATATGGTCACTGACAAATCGCTGTGACTATATTTCTGGACCTACATATTATGTAGATGATAAATTAAAACAAAATTGGCCTAAGTTTCCAATTGACGTACTGTAATAAAGTAAAAAACTTGGGCTTAATTATGGATTGTAACATGACTTGGGCGGCTCATGTCAAAAAAAAACAAAAAAAAATTATACCTTTGTATCTGACCGGGATTCGAACCCGGACACCTATGATTGTCAATCTTGCGTCTTTTTTTTAACAAAACTAAAAACTTGAATAAATATTTAAAAAATAAAAGTAAAAACTTTGTATGCGACCGAGATTCGAACTTGGACACCTGTGATCGCACTATATACTAAATTTCATGAAAATCGTTGGAGCCGTTTCCGAGATACTAATTATATATATATATATGTATATATATATATATTTATATACATATACATACAAGTGTTTATATTGCATAATGCAGTGCTAATTCGTTTATGTAAATTTTATATGAAGTCGAAAAATCTGTCAGTTGAGTTGCTTTACCGGCGTGCGATACTCATTCTATTTAAATAAATATATATATATATATATATATATATATATATATATATACTAAAGACTACAGATATACCCAGGGACATACACCAGCGTAGCGAGAGTATTTGCTAGTAATTGATAAATCTCTATTTAAAATTACAAAGTAGTGTATATAGGACACAAGTACTCGTAGTTTTCAAATTTATATATGCTTTGTGACGAAAAACTAGGAGTTTCACTTAAAACTTTAAACTGTATAAAAAAGTTAGATATGAAGACTTTTTGACTCTTTATCTTATATTTTTAAACGAGCAATTCTTGTATATCTATATATATATATATATATATATATATATATGATCTCAATCTCGGAAACGGCT